GGAGGAGGCGACAGCGGCAGGAGTAACGTGGTGCCCAGCTCAGGTGCTCTGAGCCCCCCCCAGTCAATGGTGTCCCGCTTTACCCATCTTAAAATCTGGTCACTTTAAGTTACTAGTAGTTTGCAACATAGTTTAGAGAAATAGCAAGGAAAAATATTTTTAGAGTATTTTTAATGGGACCATAACAACTAGAGCAAAAAGGTCTAGTGGTCAGTTAACGGTTGTCATTTTTCCATCTTCTTGTTGATTTGTCTTTAAGATCTAAATTCATTTTCATTCCAACTAACTACTTTAAATATACACAGACAAAATATTTTTCAATACCACTTTCTTGTGTTAGAAGCATCATGCATTTCATTGAGTGAGATTTCTGGTAAGTGGCAATACAAATGGTTTTCAGTACAACGTATACAGTAGTGGTAGGCAGGGGGGAAAATCTGCAACTTCCCTTTCCAGTCATTATTCAAAAAATAAAAATAATTTCAGAGAGCTTCATGTGAGGAATGGCTTGTATTCTTGCATTGATGTCATTGCAAGCTAGCCAAGAGATGCATATGGATATCCTCTCTTATGTCTTTTCCCTAGTTCTCTATGGCCTCCCATAGTTAACTTATAGACCAGTGGTTCTCAAACTTTTTCAGTCCATCGCCCCTTTGGTGCTACAAACTGATGCTCAGTGCCCCCCACCCAGTGGTGGAATTCAATTTTTTTTACTACTGGTTCTGTGGGCGTGGCTTTGTGGGCATGGCTGGGGAGGGTCATGTGATTGGGCGGTTTGCATGATGGAAGGAAGATAGTAACAGTAAAATTCAAAACTGTAACAATTAATTGCATATTTATTCAAAATCCAATTTAAAAACCTTTTTAGTTAATGTTAATTTAACAAAATTGTCTGATAGTCATTTATCAAGAAATTTGAAATTTAATAAATTTGTATGCCGCCCAATCCCGTAGGACTCTGGGCGGCTTACAAAAACAAGATAAAAAAGTTAAAAAATTGGATTTTGAATAGATATGCAATTAATTGTTACAGTTTTGAATTTTACTGTTACCATCTTCCTTCCATCATGCAAACCGCCCAGTCACATGACCCCCACAGCCATGCCCACAAAGCCACGCCCACAGAACCAGTAGTAAAAAAAATTGAATT